ATAGTAAAACTCACAAATCTTAGAACAAAGGAAACCATCTTAAGGGCAGTTAGGGGGAAGAGATTCCTTACGTACAGAGGGAGGAACATCAGACCTATCCACAGAGACCTGGCAAGCCAGAAAGGCCTGGCAAGACATATTCAGGGTACTAAACAAGAAGATTATGAAATGTCAGTATTAACATCTCAATTTTATAAATGAGGAAATTGAGGCATGGAGAGGTTAAGTCTACACTCTTAGTCACTGTGCTACACTGATTCTCTGAAATAAAATTTAACTAAGATATAACCTTATATCCATTATACTAACAAAAATAAAATGATTGAATATAATGCCAACTAAAAGTCTTTATTGATAAAATGTGTGTATTTTCAAATTACAATATTTCAATATGCAGTATTTCAAATTCTAATACAGTAGTTCACTCATAAGATTAATACATAATATTTACCAAAACTGTCTTGAGAAATGTGGGTTTTTTTAAAGTTTTAATTTTAATTTTATTGGTTAACATACAGTGTTATTTTACTTTCAGGTATACAATAGAGTCATTCAGCACTCCCATACATCACCCAGTGCTCATCTCGACAAGTGCACTCCTTAATCCCCATCACTTAATTCACTCTTATCCCCACCCACCTCCCCTCTGGTAACCATCACTTTGTTCTCTATAGTTAAGAGTCAAAACAGGTACAATTTTTACTGTATTGTAGCTTACCATTTTTGAAATGCATTCTGCTTACAGGAGCCACCAAATGTATCATAACCTTTAATAAGATTTATTATGTTGGGGCACCTGGGTGGCTCAGTCATTAAGCGTCTGCCTTCAGCTCAGATCATGATCCCAGGGTCCTGGGATTGAGCCCCACATCTGGCTCCCTGCTCAGGAGGAAAACTGCTTCTCCCTCTCCCACTCCCCCTGCTTGTGTTCCCTCTCTCCTGTCTCACTCTCTGTCAAATAAATAAAATCTTAAAAAAAAAAAAAAGATTTGTGCTGTCTAATAATGATAAATGATAAATAATTGACAAACCCGCAATTGGAATAGAGAAGGAAATAAGTTCTTGCAGTGTTGTTGGCATTTTTCTAATCACTCATTTGTTTTTTTCAAATTTATTCCCTACAGTAACTTTAGATGGTGGTGTCATTTTTACAGAAGAGCAAACTGAGGGTCAGGCATTTGTAAGGGACTCAGATCTTTTCTTGACCCTAAATAATCAGGCCTTTAACAGTATCATCATGAGGACAGTGGAATGTTACATGTCATTAACAATTTTAAGTATGTAGATGTGGCCGTCAATATGAAAACATTTTAATTAATAAAACCTTCAGTATGTACATACTAGTTTGATCTATGGAAAGATAGGAGAATGAAAGGTAAGAATCTTACCTGATAGTATTGTTTTAGGGACAAATTTCTTGTCTTTCTAATTAAATATACTCTCCTTTTCTAATTAAGTATACTCTAAATAAATATACTCTCCTCATTTATAAAATTGAGATGTATAGTAGTTGTGTATATCAGAGCTAGTTCTGTTGTCCTGCCCCTCTCAACACTTGGCCCCCAACTTATCCAGATATATATTTTTGTAAATTATGTACTTATACTTCAGGACTAAAGAAATGTAGGAATTACTGCCATTCTCAAATAACAGGAACAATGTAGGATTAAGAACTTCAGTTTTGCAGTCAGATAACTAAGGATGAGTCTAAGTCCCATCACCAGCTATGTGACATTGGGCAGGTCCCTTCTTTTCTTTGTTTCACCACAATTTTTTTTGAAGATTAAGTGAGAATTAATGTGAAGGTTTAGCAGAGTGTGGCATATAGTAAGCGCTAGCTGCTAACATTACCATAAACATTATTATTTAGTATTATTTAACTTCTAAGAGTTGGTTTTACTTAAGATCAGAACTGAGATCTGCTACCTTTCTGACATTTCCTTGGGAATCTACAAGAACCTCCCTTTTCCCCTCCCTCAATAAGACCATTTAAGTGTGTGTTAAGCAACTACAGAATACTAAATAAAAAGTTTGGCCAAAACCAACCATGAAGCTGCAAGAAAAAAAAAGAATTGAGATCTGCTAGACTACATTAGATTTGTATTGCTTCATAATAAACCACCAAACACTTGTTGCTTAAAACAACAACCAGTTTTTTTTTTTTTAAAGATTTTATTTATTTATTTGAGAGAGGATGAGAGGAGAGAGAGAGCACATGAGAGGGGGGAGGGTCAGAGGGAGAAGCAGACTCCCTGCCGAGCAGGGAGCCCGATGCGGGACTCGATCCCGGGACTCCAGGATCATGACCTGAGCCGAAGGCAGTCGCTTAACCAACTGAGCCACCCAGGCGCCCAACAACCAGTTTTGGTACAATTAATAACTAAAATTTCTGGGGCGCCTGGGTGGCTCAGTTGGTTAAGCGACTGCCTTCGGCTCAGGTCATGATCCTGGAGTCCCGGGATCGAGTCCCACATCTGGCTCCCTGCTCAGCGGGGGGTCTGCTTCCCCCTCTGCCCTCTTCCTTCTGCCCTCTTCCCTCTCGTGCTGTCTCTCATTCTCTCTCTCTCTCAAATAAATAAATAAAATCTTTAAAAAAAAAAAAATAACTAAAATTTCTTAAAATATTCTCCTAGAAGTTAAATTGGTGTTGATTTTCAAAAATCTTCACTGTTAGGGAAATTAAAATAACGATACAATTTTTTTACTTCTCCCTAAAAGGTAAGGCAACTTAAAAATAAATTCACCAAATACCATTTCCCCCTCCCCAAATTAATAAAGGACAGTTTTTTAAGTTCACAGATTTGCTGTATCATGTAGCATTTAGCTTGTTTAATCTCAGATGATGTATTAATGAGAAGTGAAGTAATCTGTGCCAAATACAGTAGGTGGCACTGTGATAAAAACGTTTGTTTCTGTGAAGAATTGAGTTCAGGATTCATCTGTACTCCTCTACTGAGTGTTTGCTAAATAAACATAGGTTTCCAAATAAGGCAAACTTGAACAGAATCTAACAACTTTGCTTAACCTAAATACACATTTATTTGCAGTGTTTTATTTAATTACAGAAATTAAGTACAATAATGGCAGTGTTCTTTGAACTAAATTCTACCAAAAGTGAGAATAGAATGTACTATAAATTGATTGAGGCACAGATTTTAATTTCTCAAAATTCTTTCATATATATTTTAATATATATTTATGTATTTCAGTTCTTTCATAGGTATTTCACACAGGTTATCCTCAGCTTCTCATTCTTCTTTTTTTTTTTTTTTAAAGATTTTATTTATTTATTTGAGAGAGAGAGCACCTGAGAGGGGGGAGGGTCAGAGGGAGAAGCAGACTCCCTGCTGAGCAGGGAGCCTGATGCGGGACTCGATCCTGGGACTCCAGGATCATGACCTTGTCCGAAGGCAGTCGCTTAACCAACTGAGCCACCCAGGCACCCCTCAGCTTCTCATTCTTAATAATTAAGCTTTTAAATTACTTCTTTAGTTTATGTAAGCTAAAACAGCAAAGATGAAATACAACACATCAGCCAGAAGATAGTAAATTTTAATGGGGGTGATTCTGTGTCATATTTTCAGTGTATTTCAAAGTACCTTCGAGCCTTCTTTAAACAGAAATCTCAGAAGAAAAATTAACTCACTAGTTTGAACAGCACAAACAGTTTTTTTATTCCTTTCAATAGTATATTGAAAGAGTTTAGGAAACTGGAGTATTCTTGTACAATTAAAAGCACTATGTAAAATTGTTGTAAAGAGTACTGATTTGGGTTGTTTGGTGTATTGAACTGTAATGATATAAGTATCTTAATATTTCATTTGCATTGATTCTGGTTAAATTAGTGCTTCTCAATCCTGGCTTTACAGGCTCCCCAATCATCTGTGGAACATCTTTAAGAAAGTTCCAGGCAAAGATGTGGAGAAAAGGGAACCCTCATGCACTATTGGTGGGAATGTAAATTGGTATAGCCGCTATGGAAAACAGGATGGGGGTTCTTCCAAAAATTAAAAATAGAACTACCATATGAAAATAAAGAAAGTTCGAGGGATTCTTTTTTTACCACATTTTATTTATCCATTCATCCATCAATATATACTTAGGTAACAGATACATGTTTTCATGTCTTGGCTAAGGTAAAACTATTGAAATGAAAATGGAGCCACTATGGAAAACAGTATGGAGTTCAACAAAAATTAAAAATAAAACTATCAGATGATACAACAATTCCACTTCTGGGTATTATCCAAAGGAACCTAAAACACTAACTCAAAAAGTTCCAGGGATTCTGATCTAGTCGGTGCCATCATAACATTGGCCTTGGCAAAACCATGCTGTGTTAATGGCAGATATATCACAAAAGGTAACACTAGAGCACATCTAGTCCTCTGAAGTTGTCTTTGAATGGCTGTTTGATCTTTATTAAGAGACAAAAATCTTCATTTAAAAGTTTGCATAAAGTTACATTTTGAAGTAGGTAAACACTTAGCAACAAAAAAATATCTCAAAAGCTGGGTAAAGGTAAAAACACTTTTGGAAGCATATGGTAGTTATCAAATATGAAAAATAAACATTACTGTGGTCTTTACTATTAAACATCAACTGTTTTCTTGTAATAAAAAAGAAATGGAATTTATTGTTATTTTGGTGTTAAAATATGAATGAAATTTACCCCATCGTAGTGTAATTTCTCTTCTCTCCTCATTTCAAGCATTTGGGTTCTAACATTCTAAATTTAGCCAGTTATCTCTGGTCATTTAATTTTTGTTTCCCTTTTAAATTTAAGTGATGGTTCTTTCTTTCTTTTTCTTTCTTCCTTCCTTTCTTTATTCCTTTCTTTCTTCCTTTCCTTCCTTTTGTCTTTCTTTCTTTCTTTCTTTCTTTCTTTCTTTCTTTCTTTCTTTCTTTCTTTCCTTTTCCTTTTCCTTTTCCTTTTCCTTTCCTTTTTTCTTTCCAGCTATTACTGATAATGGCAGTTGATTTAATCTACTGTTTTTCAGCTGACTACCTGGCTCAGGCATTTGATTCTCTCTGTTTGGACTTGAAGACAGATGAAGGAAAAGTCTTGTTTTTGGAGTATCAAGCTGTTCCAGTAATACTAAATCATCTCCGAATATCCAGTAAAGGACTCCTCTCTAATGTCATTGATAGTTTGCTTCAGATGACAGTGGAATCTAGTAAGTTTTAAAGTTTTTAGATACACAAAGTAATGACAGATGATTTTGTTTTCTGAATGTATAACTACATGTCAGACATATTGTATTATATAATAGAAATGGTTAAAAAGTATTTTTGACAGCAGTGTAATAGAGTCATTAATAACATCACTAAAAGTTGTATGTCTAAATGTCCACTAACGTAGGACAATTGCCAGTATTCACCTCATCTCAGTTATGTGCATATACTCTGCATTGTTAGTCATGTTTTCAAGCTTCTTTGTCTGTTCTTCCGTTTCATCATTCTGACAGATCTAATCCTGTATTCCCTGCTTGCTTAGAAGGAGATGTTCAAGTGTGTCTCCATCTAAAGGGAGAATATGACAAAGCCATATTCCTGTTGTTTCCTCCTCAACCTTACTGTTTTGTTGGAGGGTTTGGGGGTGGGAGGAGCACTCAGGTGTATATGTGGCTACTTTTTTTCATGCATATTTGTAACGTTTTGTAGTCTGTGGCCTTATTTTTTCTTTTTGGTTTTTATATTGGTGTGGCAAGTTCTTTTTTTTTTTAGCGAGTTCTTTTATTTATTTTATCTTAAAGATTTTTATTTATTTGAGAAAGAGAGAGGTAGAGAGCACAAGCAAGGGGGGAAGGGCAGAGGGAGAGGGAGAAACAGGCTTCCCGCTGAGCAGGGAGCCTGATGTGGGACTGGATGCCAGGACCCCAGGATCATGACCTGAGCCAAAGGCAGACACCCAACCGACTGAGCCACCCAGTCGCCCTGCAAGTTCTTTTAAATTGCTATTGATGGTTCCTAATTTAGCCCAGATATGTATGGGGATGTTGAACATAAATATTTTCATTTGTTTTGGTTGGTATTGCTCTTTGAACCTCAAGTAACCCCTTGACTTGTAACAAGCAACCATTTTGCCTCAGTAATTTTTTTTCACTTGTGGCTTTTCCTCTTCCCTATTCCCTCTTCCTTCTACAGCACTTCTAAAAATGAAGTGTTTATGCCTTCCAGAAGGTGGAAACTAAAATTGGAAAGTCATTTCTCAGTGTGATAGTAAGCAATCTGTGGTACTTGGTGCTGCTTGTGGGTGAATCCCTAATAGCTGGGTGTAAAGCATAGTTATATTTCTAACTAGGTACCTTCAGTGTATGGCTTCACATTTTTAATTCATTTTATATGCTTTCTCGTTTTTCTTTTACAACATCCCTGTGAAGGGCCTGAATAGAAAAACTGAGGCCTAGAAAAATCCGATAACTTGTCCATGGCAAGACAGGCGCTTAACCAACTGAGCCACCCAGGTGTCCCTCTTTCTTTCTTTTTAAAGATTTATCTATTTATTTGAGAGAGAGAGCTGGGGGGAGAGGCAGAGGGAGAGGGAGAAAGAGAATCTCAAGCAGACTCTCTGCTGAGTACGGAGCCCCACATGGGCCCGACGCAAGGCTCAATCTCACAACCCCGAGATCATGACCTGAGTGGAAATCAAGACTTGGACACTTAACTGACTGAACCACCCAGGATTTTTCTTAATGAGGAAAACAAAAATTTTACCAGATGCTAATGTCTATTCATTAGAAACAAATCTGTCTGAATATTTCTGACAGAGATGAAATCTTGTAGCCAAAGGAAAACTGAATATAATTCTATGAAATAGTGGCCCTACTTGGGTGAAATGACTTTGTAGCACCATAACGTTCACATTTGGAGAAATAGTAGTAGATAAAGTCAACAGATGTTCAGTTCATTCACACGTGTTTACCTTTGTTCAGATTATGCCAAATCCAAGGTTATCCTTTCTTGTTCAAATTGAGTAAATAAAGCAATTTCTAATGTGGATTCCTAGAAAGCCATATCATTTTTAGTGATGGAAAACTTTTGGAAGATTAGAAATGGGTGAATCATTGATGATTTCTGACTGAAGCATATTTATTTGCTTGATATATTTTTCCGCTTTTAATATAAATCCAGTACCTGATGTTAACCAAAGAAATATGTTGAAGGGGTTAAATGAATGATAGATCAAAATGTAGCAAATACTTACCTAGCTGTTGGTTTTATGTTCTGTTTTTTCTAGATTTGAGATGAGAAACTCATTTTACCATGTACATAATTTTCACATGCCATTTTTTTTTAAGTTAATAGGAAAAAGTTATTGGAAGAGAAATCTTGATAGAATGGATTTGCAGATGGCTTATCTCACACAACTAATGGGCCTTGGTGGTCAGCTATGCACGGGGTGACATGTTTCAAGCATTGTGTTTGCAGTGCTTTGCTTAGCCTTGGGGCTTCCTCTGAACGTCCATTTAGGGCTTTGGAGCAAGAGGCTAGAGGAAGGTGTCAGTGGGCCAGACTCTAGCCTGGGAGTACTCAAAATGCTTGCTTATTGGTTCTCTAACACAAGTCAGTATAGAAACAGTGTTTAAAACTTGTGTAGTAGTCTTCAAATTACTAATTTTATCAAGTTCAATAATAATTAGAAACATTTGGACTTGTGTTTTGTATGTTTGTTTTATTTCATTTCTAGTGTTTTGGTTTTTTTTTTAAGATTTTATTTATTTGACACACAGAGAGAGAAGGAGAGAGCAAGCACAAGCAGGGGGAGTGGCAGGCAGCAGGCTCCCTGCTGAGCAAGGAGCCCAATGTGGGGCTCGATCCCAGGACCTTGGGATCATGACCTGAGCTGAAGGCAGCCTCTTAACCAACTGAACCACCCAGCGGCCCCATTTTCTAGTGTTTTTTAATGGTATTGTAAAACGATAAATTTTGAAAAGTTTATTTGAACAAACAGCGATTCCAGTGGGATAGCACCAAATCTGAAAATGGTTAGGGGTGGCTCTGTAGGTGGGGCCTAGGGCAGAGGTTTTTATAGAAAAGACAGAGAAGCAGAGTAAAGAAATTATTTAATTGGCTATAACATAAATGTTTGCCTTGTTGGGGAAAATTTAGTTATTTGGTGGTTATAATAGTTTTACTTGTGGTTCATTTTCTCCAATTCAAGGAAATCTGCTTGGCTATTGATGATTAGTTTTTCTTGAGTTTTGTTTTCTTAGATTCAAGTGCATTGACTGCTTTAGAATTTGATTTGTTTAGTTAGGGTACCCTGCTGAAGGCATGAGAGCTCCCCAGTCTAATAGCCTCTTTGTTGAACTATTTTAAACAGTATTTTGTTAAAGTCTGTTGCATTCTCTATGCTGGATTGGAAATCTCAGATCAGTTCTTACAGTAGTTTGAGGAGCAATAGGATACTCCATCTCCACTGGATACTTCATGTTAAGCTGTGTTGTAGTTCGTACTGCTACAGAGTGGTTTTTCTCTTGTTCCTCTCATGCTCTTCCCCCAGATTCATCTTTTCAGATATGAGAAATGTTATTAGCTGCGTAGGTATTTACTGTTTTTTGAAAGCTGTTAAAATGCATTTCTTTTTTTTAAAATGATCTAGATATATTTTACTTTAAAATGCATTTCTTTGAGTGTAAATTAAGATCTGTACATCGATTTACCTCAACATATACATTATGAGCACATTTTTTTTTAGATTGAGGGCTTCTGATAATACCTCTTTTGGGTGTGAGTGTATATCATATAATAACTTAATAGTGTTGATTTTAGAAAATTACTTTGTGGTTTCTTTTTCTTTTTCCTGTCAGTGGTTAAAAGCTGTTACTTATCTGGGTTTATCAAGTTATCTTACACTTATCAAGTGTAAGAACTTGAGTCTTATTTTATTTCAAAGAGTACTTTCCTTTTCTTGTCAGACTTAGTTTAAATAGAGGGATTTAAGTTTGTATTTGTATTACTTAGTTCATTCTATTTTGCGGCCTAAAAGCTGCCCATCTAAGGTAACATGCTACCAGTTAACACTTGATGGCAATAATGTATTTGAGCACATTTTGCAGACACTTTTTATTTGTATTATAAAAATAATAGAAAATTGGAAAGCTACAAACTGTAAAAAAGTCTTACTATCCAAAGATAATGTACAATTATTTCATAAGTACATTACTCTCTCTCTTTTTTCCATGGATAATTTTCATGATGTTGAGTGTTTCTTTTCTTTCTTTTTTTTTTTTTTGTTTAACATGGTTAGATTTTAGTGTACATGTAGTTGCATCAGTCTATGTTTATCTGTCTAAAATATCACAAAAGTGAAAATTAAAAAAAAAAAAAGTCTTCTTTCAGTCACTGTTTCCCCTCCCTGGAGAAAACAATTTCACTAGTTTTTTTTTCCATGTTCTTTCGTTACAGGTACTATGTTTGTGTACACACGCATATTCTTATTTTTTCATTTTTATCAAAAGAATGTTAGCATGCTATACGTGTTATAAAAAATAGATCTTAGAGATGTTGTATTAGTACATAGTTTCTTCAAAAAAGTATTCATTTAAGATGACTGTTGATGGATATGTTAACCTTAAACGGTAAAACTGCCAGGTGTTCAAACCTGGGCTTATTCAGTATAGCAGAGAATTGCGATCCAGGACAAGCAAGCTACAACAAAATCACAGATAAGACCAGAGAACAAAGGAGAGGAATGCCTTTTTAAAAAAATTTTTTTATTTTTATGTTAATTACCATACATTACATCATTAGTTTTTGATGTAGTGTTCCAGGATTCATTATTTGTGCATAACACCCAGTGCTCCATGCAGAATGTGCCCTCTTTAATACCCATCACCAGGCTAACCCATCCTCCCACCTCCCTCCCCTCTAGAACTCTCAGTTTGTTTTTCAGAATCCATCGTCTCTCATGGTTCGTCCACCCCTCAGATTTACCCCCCCTTCATTCTTCCCCTCCTGCTATCTTCTTTTTTTTTTCTTAACATATATTGCATTATTTGTTTCAGAGGTACAGATCTGTGATGCAACAGTCTTGCACAATTCACAGCGCTCACCATAGCACATACCCTCCCCAATGTCTATCACCCAGCCACTCCATCCCTCCCACCCCACCCCCCACTCCAGCAACCCTAAGTTTGTTTCCTGAGATTAAGAATTCCTCATATCAGTGAGG